GAGCACAACTGACTATGAACAGAAAGTAGAAGAAACACTTTCAGCGTTTAAGGTGACAAAAGAGAAGAGTGAGCCAATCGCATTTCGACAGACGTCACGATTCTTTAAGAAGAAAGGCACAATTGCAATCAAAGAGAACACGCCACCAAGTGTAGATATAGCTCACAAACAAAATGGGTCATGTGGAACACTTCTTGAAGAATCTCTTGTTGAGGGGCGCTCAAGTTCGACGGAGGGAAAGATCAATGCAAAGCACTCCCGACTGATGGGATTGAAGCGTGATAGAGTCCAGAGTGCGGTGATTGACTTGTCGCGATTACAACAAACCCTCAACGACAATCCACTGAGTCGATCGAATGTGCACAGCTTCCCGTCACAGCAGACTTTTGTGAATTGGACAAAAGAAGCTGTTCAGAAGTTGACAGTGATAGAGAGTGCGGTGAGGGGGTGTCTAGTACGGCGGAAGTACAAAGTGAACAGTTTGTTAATGCGCAAGAATGTCATCACAGAGATAGCAGACACAGAGAAGAACTTCTCGAAGAATATGATTCTGATGGACGAGTTCTTCCGGAAGCCTCTCTTGTCTTTGGCCGAACAGAAAGTTGTTGCAGCGAGTGATGTGAGTCTTGTCTTTAACAAGTCGTTTGAACAATGTCTTCGCAATAGTATTGAACTGTCAAAGCGATTTCGAGAGATGTGTGTCAACTTCAAGGCAACAACACTACTTGGTGAGAAGATAGGGGAGTCAATCTACTTGGCTAGCGCTTTACTTGTCTTCACAATGGATTACAACATCTCACTGAAGACGTGGAAGGAGATGAAGAAGGCGGGATGCGTTCGTACGTTGGTTGATATGAATTTGAATGAAAAGGAATTGGAGAACAGAACACTGGAACAACTCCTGATTCAACCCGTCCAACGTTTAATGCGATATCCGATGCTGGTCGACGTGCTAATTAAAGCGACCTACAAGAGAAATCCGGACTATGAGTGCCTCAAGAACGCTTACACACAATTTGAGTTGTTTTCAAATGTCGTCAACGAGCGGACTAAAATGAGAGATGGATTGCAGGAAATGTGTGAGGAGTTGAACAACGCAGATCTCTTTGTGATGGGAAGGTTGCTTGTCTCTAAATATCAAGTTGAAGTGAAAGACTCGAAGAAGAAGGGATGTATAGTCTGCGTCTGCAATGACATGTTGATCGTCTATTCCGGTAAGACTAAGGACAAAACAGTCATATTGGAAATCAAGTTGTCTGGAAGCGTCAATCTCGTGCAGAACGGAAAGAGCGTTGTAATCAACGAGTATGGAAAGGCTCCAGTCACACTTGTATTCAGCGACAAACGGAATGCAGAGAGCTTCAATAAAGTTGTCTCCGGGATGATTCTTGACGAGTGGTATGTCCTCGACGACGACAGGTCTTATGGTAAACTGTTAGTAAATCTATTGAATTGATTTTTTGTTATTCAATGTTGTTATTGATATTATTTATAGTTTTAATATAATATAATTATAATAATAATAATAATATGATATATTATAATATTTTTGAAATTAAAAAAAAATATTTCTTTTGAAAAACAAATAAAAAAAAAGAAAACGAAACATCAATCAATCAACATTCAGCCCAACTTTTTACGAATAAAAAATCTTAAGATCAGAATTATTTTTTAAAAAGACAAACAGAATTGGTATTTTGCATAAAAGATAGCAAGAAATAATTATTAGAATAATTTCCTAAAAAATACCATAATATCAATGGGATTTTTTCATTCCAAAACAAGTCAAGCAAAATTTCACATTTTTTTTGATACCATTCCGATAGTAAAAAAAATGAACAATTACAATTGATTTTAACACCTCAGGAGTCCAAAACCAAAACATAAAGAGCGTTGTTATTCTTTTGGTATTGATAGAATCTATTGAATTCTATTTTTACTATATTTATAATAACATCAATGAACACTTATAATACAATAATAAAAAATTATTAAGTCTAAGAAAAAAGACGATGGAAGTGCCTCGCAATGAATTACCCAAAATCTCATAGAAAAAGGTCAATTAAGACTAGAAATATAGAAGGATGTGGACAACAACAGAACAACTTGTTCTCATCGAATCAATCCAATACTGCAGACCGCAATCCATTTCCGAGTGGAAATACGTCAGCGACGTCTTAATCAAAACTCTCTGCTTCGACGGACCAGTCGATGCAAGCAAATTCACAGAAAGGGAGTGCCTCGATCAATTCAAGTCTCTTGAAAAGATGTATGAAGAGAAAATACCTCCACAGTACCCAACACTCGCTGCTATTAACTTTTTACTCAGGCGAAAAAGAATCGAAGAACTCGATGAAGCAATTTTTCAGTCCAAACAAAATTTGATGAAATTGCAACAAATTGTCTAAATTGTTTTGTAGAAGGTTGGGTCAAATGTATTAAAGTACAATAGTAAAATAACAATTTTAATATAGTACAATTTTTGAAGAGCAATAATATTAAAAAACTTTGAAGAAGTTGTTATTATCAATTTATTTACTAAAAATAATAATTTTTATTAGTAAATTAAAATTTTATATATAATACTTATTATTAGTTTAGAATATGACTCAAGATATAATTGTGATAAAAATAATTGTGACTTTGTTTGGTTCATTTATAGACATTAACTATAGTATATAATTAATTTTATTATATTATATAGTTTATGATTTTTAATTTGAATAACAAAATTTAATATAATTTTTAATATTTGACTTAAATAGTTGTTATTATTTATTAATTATAAAGAAACTTATTATAATTATATTTGTCTTTTTTATCTTTTTTTTAAATACTATCCATCAATAGAAAGAGCATTATTTATAATTGTTAGTTTAATTATAGTTAATTTACTTTAATAAACAACTATATTAATTATAATATAATTGTTAATTATAGTTAAAAATATTTATTAAATAAATTATTCTCGAAATAACAAAGTTTTGGTTTGATAATAATTATGTGTTGATATAATGTATATTATTAATATTTGTAACAACAAAATATAAGTTAAATAAATGATATTTTCAATGTACCTATTAAAACACTTAGAGTATATTCAGATTGGTATCACACCAAAAACTTGTATAAACACATCACTTTATCATAAAAAGTGTTGATGATAGGATATTTATTCACTTTTTAATTATTTAAAATGAAAACGAAATAGTGTTATATTTTTTATTTAAAAGTAATTAAGTGTGTAGAGCAAATGAGAAGTTAAACAAATTGATGAAGCTTTTTCTACCGTTTGTTAAGGATTATTTTATCTTTTGAATGACTAACTAATGATTATTCAAGTTGGGATTTAATATTTTATATTCATTTTACAAATTTACTCGTTTTAGAACAAATAAAATGTTTGCAATTGTTTGATTATCTATTTTGAAGTTTGTGTCGTTTTATGATACATCACTACCATAATGAATATTATTTTTAACTTGATTTATTCAAAAAACAAGTAAAAGAACAATAAAAACAGAGTTACTTCATCAGATGTGTTAACTTTTTGTGAAATATATTAACATAGATTCGAAATTCATAGTTTTAGTCGATTTGTTAACAATCTTTAAACATTTTGTTTATTGAATATATACTTAATGAAATATCTAAAACTGTTATTTTTGTATCATTATAAAGGTAAAAACAATTACAATGTCGCATCTGAATGATTTTCAGTTAAAATTCTTCTACCCTTTAAAGATTAATCACTAATTGAATTAAAAATAAACAAATAAATTCCAAAGACATTTTGGATTTGAAAGACTAAAACATTATATAGATTTTATTTGTAATAAAAGTTGAACTTATCATTAAATTGTAATTGTGTGGTTTTGTATTTTATTCCATAAATATTTAAATATAATTATTTTAAAATAAATCAAACTTCATACTATAAATGTCAAATAAGCGAATTTTTATTTATTTCTTGATTACTCAATAATTATCCAATTTCGATAATTTATTATCAAATTCATAAAGTGACGAATGAAACTTAAGTCCAGCTGAATTATCAAACTTCTTTTTGACCATATTAAATAATAATTTAAATACCATTATAATTATCATTTGAATTTTTTTCGTTTGAAATCAAAAATCAACAAAGGAATAACTGAAATAAAAAAGCAAGTATTCTTTGTTGTTTAAATTATTTTGAACGCCATTTTGTGGAACTTATGTACAATGAAATACCGCTTGTTTTTTTTCGTAACTTCAAATTATAATTTGCATGTTAGTACCCTTTTTTTCGGGAGAGTTTTTTTCAAAAAAAAAATAATTTGAACAAAGGTGCACATTCAAAAAAATGTCAAAAAAAAACCACAATTGTACGACAGACGATAATAATTTTTTATTTCTTTTATTTAAATTTAACTATACTTTTTAGTATTTTCAAAACCCACAAATCACCATGTCTGTCGTTTTGGAAAGTAAAAATAATTCATCGAAACACAAAATTTAGACATTTACAAAAGTGGATCAAAAGCGAAACTAATTATTACAAGTAAAATAAGAACAATAACAATCACATTTAACGAGTTATTTTTACAATTATAAAACAATTAACGTACAAAAATAATCTGATAACTGTGTTTTAAATACCGATTATTGAGTTTCTTGTTTTAAAGTAATCAACGAGCACGTTAAATAAAAAAACGTGTTAAATTGAGTGCAATTTATGAACAAATTGACACAAAATGTTCAGAAATCCCGAAATAAGAATAGAAATATCGAAAAATAAAACAGCGAAGATTGTGGAAGGGTGAAACCGCCCCAATAAAAAGGTAAAATGAAACTCAATGAATATTCGAACGATGCAATCTGAGCAAATGATATGTTGCAGCCGGAACGGCACGTCACATAAGGACGGAAAACGCCTTGAGAAACCAGAATGGACGAAGGAAGTTGGGTACAAGAGGAAGTACCAATTTCGCGAGAAGAGGAATTATCAAGTCTCGCAACAAGGGATTTTCCTAGCTATTATTAATCAGTACTTTGAAATAGATCTGCTGAACCCAATCAAGCGATCGAATGTCGCGACTCAAATTCTTCGGATCGACACATTGAAAAGAGGAGAAGACATCATTCATTTCAATTCATTCTTGGAAGAACGGTGCCAAACACTTTTCAAGAACGATATTGCTAATGGAGTCTCGACAAAGACAGCAATGAGAAGATTAGAAACAAATAAGGTCGCCGAGGGTTTACATTTACTTATAGACATTCTCTTGGAACTTGGATACTTCTTCACTTCGAAAGTATCAAAAGGAGTTAACGGTTTCCAAAGAATTGAAACAGTCAAAATCATTCACACGAAGAACAGAACATTCAACAGGAAAATGATCGAAGAAATCGGACAAGAGGCAAACGCTTTCTTATTCAAAGAGTTATCAACAGAAGGCAGAAGTCAAATATGTGTAAAGAATCAAGAACTCCAGGGCTTGCTCTGTGAATGAATTGTTAAATAGACGTTGTTCGTTATTTTTGTTAACAAAGAACGCTCTCAAAATTACACAAAAGAAAGGAGTAAAGCTAGAAAAGTTAAAAAAGACAAAGCCATCAAGAAAATGGCAAAAATTTGAATCAACAAGTCGCGCATTCATTCTTTCAAATTGTTTATATTAACTGAACAAAGTTTTTTCGTTTTCAAATTTATGGAAAATGGAATTGAATGTATTACTATATTTTATAGTATTTCAAATTAATATGTATAGTTTAATTGTGATTGGGTATTAGTAAAGCATTTTTGACGATTTTCAATGGAAATTATGAACTTCAGTTCTCATTACTGCTGTTTTGCGACTTTTTTGGAGAAACATTTTATGTTTGAAAAGTAAAGTGCCGACCTTTTGAAGAGAAAAAATGCGTGAGTCGATGTTTCATTTTGGAGACCAAAAACCAGTAAATAAAGGTACCCATTCCCAAATAGTCCGGCATTTTTGTTGGATTCAATGGAAAAAGGAATGCGACTTGTAAAATGTTTTTCTAAAGAGAAAACAATCGTTTTTAAAGTTTCAGAAATATTTCAATCTTATTTTTGTTGACTTAATTGCGAATAAAACAATAATATGTCCATCGAATATATAATTGCCGATTTTCCAAATTGTTGCATTTGGTACTGGCACATTTTCAGGATGTTTTAATAAATAAATGGGTTTTTTTATTATCAATCAAAAAATTAATTTTGGTAATAATTTATATTAAAAAGATATCGAATTTTTCAGTTTGACGAAATTATTAAAGAAATGGTCCCGAATTTATAGTGGAAAACCACTCAAAATATTAAATCAAACCAAAAATGGATAATTCAAAAAACGACAAAAAAGAAAAATATTTCAATGGTGAAGTTTGTTTATTCTTCATTTATTATTGAAATTTTTGAAATTTTGATCTAAAATTCCAAAAAAAAAAGACAAGGTCAAGATTCATAGTTTTTTTAAATGAAAAAAATTAATAATTAATATTATAATTAGTTATATTTTATAATATTGGTATTATATTTATTGTTATACAATTTAAATTCAATTATAATAATCAAATAGCTCAAGTAAATTGTGAATAAGTCAGTGGTATAATTTAATAACAAAACACAATAGAATAAGATATATAAGAATTGTTATGAACAAGTTTACAACAATAATTAACTTAAAAATTATTGTTTAATATTGAATAGTTATCAGGTGTTATTATATAAATTATATGTATCGAATAAATAATTTTTAATTTTTTAAAGTTTGATTTGTATTGTTTACTAATAATTATATTAATAATTACATTATATAGTCAGTCTGAAAACGTGGTCCAGGCATTTTTGGACCATCAAAACTGGAATATTTCGGGAAACAGTTCGAAACACTCCCAAAACATTGTTTCATAATTTTTACCGGGATTTGATCGTTTTTTCCTAATTCCCAAATTTTTAAACATATTTTGTGTATTTTTTTGTCAAATGGACAACGTTTTTTGACAGACTTTAATTATTATTTGAAATACTAAAATCTAATGGATTCAAATAAATTGAAAAAAATAATGAAAACAACTTTATAATACTACAAATAATGTCTTCCAACATTTACACAACAAGTTTATATAAAGACGTTCCACCTTTTACACTTCCAATTATTTCTAACAAAACTTTGAAACATCTTGTTGTTATCCACAGACATGGAGACCGTATGTCAATCAATCCATCACACACTTCTTTAAAAGCACCCGACGGACACTTTTATGAACCTGGAGAACTTACCGTTAAAGGAAAAAGCCAGTTGACTTATTTAGGAAAAGAGATGAGAAAGTACGTAACACAATACAAACCCCTTTTCTCTCAGATTAACAACAAAACAATTAAGACGCGATCGACTAATGTTGGAAGGACAATCACATCAGCCCTCTATTTTCTGAGTGCTTTTTTGGAACAAAGTGCCACAATGAATTCTGAAACTTTTGAGGTTAGAAGTGAGGACAAAGAAAACATGCTCATCAGCATAGAGAAAAGACACAACACAATTGTAACGGAAAATAGAAAAACGTGCGACGAAGTGTTTTTGGCAAACCCTAAAATTGTCGAATTGTATCAGAAATACTGCAGAGTTTACAATATCTCTCCAAAGGAGGAAAAGTACTCAAATCAAATTGTAAACATGTGCGACACTTTCAATTTGTTTGTTTGTAACGACATTCCAATCCAAGTGAATGACAAAGGCGAAACCATTACACCGGACGATATGAAGTTTGCGGAGTCCATTGGAGAGGAAAGTTTTGAAATTGTTTTTGGAGAGAGGAGAGTGCTTGGAGTGTTTGCAAATGAGTTTCTTGGAGATATCGTTAACGACGTCGAGAATTCTATATTTGGAGAACCTAAAGAAAAGTGTGAGATGCACCTTTATAGTGCACACGACGTTACACTGTTTATGGTGCTCAAATTTCTCGGATTTAAGGTGGACAAATGGGTACCACTGGCGTCTTATATCATATTAGAAATATTCGAAGATGGAGATGGAAAGTATGTGGTTAGACTTTCATACAACTCACAGGTACTCAAATTGAAATGTCAGGGAGAGTCTGAATTGTGTGAATGGGACGTTTTTAAAGGATATGTAAAAGAAACAACAAAAGAGTTGTTGGAAGACATTCAATTATAATTTATAACTTCAAATTCGGTTATAACAGAATTAGACAATTCGCACATTTCTAATTTTGTTCAACACTTGAAATTTGTATTGAAATGAATAAATGAAAAAAAAACAATTTAATAACAACTTATTTTTTTCCCAGTAAAATTCTAACTCATTTTAACCTTACGATACTATTACTGTTTTAACACGTTCAAAACAGAAACGTTATAATTAAAAGTTTTTATTTTTTTCTTTTACCTAAACCTTTTTTTGCCTTCATACACAAAACAAATTTTTGTAATTTTTTATTTATTTTTTAATCAACTAAAATTTGAATTGTTTATTTTTTGGTCACACTTAACATGAAGTGTTAAGTATTATGTGAAGTAACAACTTCATCTGTTTTTGATGCTACATTGAGTTTTTTGTGTTAAACAAGAGCAATAGAAAAAAGATAGGGTCTAATGATGGTTTGATATTTTTGGTTGTTTTTTATAAAAAGTATATTGTCATTTGATTATAATGATATTGGTGTTTATATTGTCGTTATATTTGTTAATGTGACTATTTGACATTGTTTGTCATTAAGTGGATTGACGATGTAGCGTTTTTATATAAAATGTTGAAACACAATAAAGCGATATGAAATTTCATCCAAAAAGATTATTTTTGACCAATCTTAGGTAATTGAGTTCTCATTTGTTAGTTATTTTAAGTAAAATAAAACTGACTATTGGCCGGTTTGGGTTAGAAAGGGGTTTTGGAATAAAAATAATAAAAAATGATTTGGACAATTTCCTTTTTACTTATTTTTCTTCTTAAAAAAAGTTTTTGGTTGTGAAAGTGTTAATTAAAACACTTAAAGGGGTGGAAAAAACAGCTTTTGATAATTTTTGGTGAATAATGGTAAAATGTTTTCTAAATGTTATTTGTTTTTATTTTTTTATTTAAACAAAAAAAACATCATTTACAATTTGCCTGAGCATTTTTTCGAAGTGTTTAGAAAAATGCAGTTATAGTCTATTTATATTACGGTTAATAGTTGAGTTATTCCAGAATTTATTTGAAAGAAAACGGGAAACAGCTTACAATCGTAAGACATATAACCAAATATACATTCGTTTTCAAATAAATAAAATAAACGTTAAGTTTGATAATTTTAATTAATAAATAAAAAAGAATGAATGTCGGCTTCTTCCTTGTCGTCACTTTAAATTTATCACTTTAATATTATTTTCTTCATTGTGTTGTTGTCTAATAAACAAACAAAAACTGTTTAACTTCGCATTAAACGTTATATTTTGTAATTTACACTTTAAAAGTTCTCTTTTATACCCTTCTCTATTTTTATTATTAGAACTTTAAATATTTATTTTTTACAGATTTTTATTGCGATAAAACGCAATAATATTAAATGGAAAATTTAATTAAAAAATAAAAAAAATAAAACCAAGTTATTTTTTTTCGAGGTTTCTTTTCATTTGGAATTTTGTTCTTTTCATCCTTTTTGATTTTAATTGGTTTTTCAACACCGAGCCTGTGCTCTCTATTGGTATAATTTTCAATGGAGACTCTAACAGTTTGGGTTTCTTTTCTTTTTAGATCTTTACCAAGAGAAGAGCAAACCTATCTGGCATAAGACATGTCAACTTTTGCAACACCTTTAAGAAGGTCTACAGTGTTGAAGTTGGGGTTGACACATCTCATGTTTTCCAACTCTTCTTTTGATGGGTGTTGAACCACGTATATTATACCAGCCTGTTTGAAGGCACTGGTCATCGTGTCGCCATCAGACACTACTTCCCACGAGTAAACAAGCTGCCTAATTTTGTCTTCCTCCGAGAGCTTTGCAAATTTTTTCAATACATTTTTGAACTCGAGTGAGTTCATTTTGAGAAATTTCCCGTTTCTTTGGACCTTTTCGTCACACTTTTCATTTTATTTTTCACTTGATGAAATTTTGTGTAACATCAAATTGTTTTTGTCCGCAAGGAAAGTTTTTTGTTTCCCGAAAAGTCCCAGATCCATAGGCTGACATAAATGGGAACTGTGGGGACTTCCTTTATAATTTCAACACAATTTTCCCGAAATAATGCTTCAATTTCATCACTGAAATGGCCCGAAAAGCCGTCAATAATTAGATACGCCTTCGTATCAACTCTCACACCCATTCGGTTCCTTTTTTCCTTAATATTCGGGAAAAACACTTGTTTGAGCCACAAGGGGTATAATTGCGTATTTAGAACACCTGATTTTTGGTATCTAATAATAGCACGACTCTTGAGTTCCACAATTAGCTTGTCTATAGTGGTGAATCTTTTGGTAACAACAAGGGGTGTCATTTTTGTCCCATTTAGACAACCACAACATAAAAGACTCGTTCTAGAACCATCTCTGTCGACTTCGTTAAAAACTTGTTCCCCTGATTCGACTGACACGTAGATAACTCGAGTTCTAGAATCAACCCATTTATCAAATCCAACTTCATCCAAGTTAAAAACAAGCTCAAATCTGCATCCATCCAATTTTCTTTTTAATTCTGAGTAATACTGCAGGATGGCAGTTTGTGATACCTCTGCTGGTTTTATTTCCATAACTTGGGCCTTTTTTGTTTCAATTCCTGGGATTAATTTAAGAACTTTATTTAATTGCCTTGTTCCCATTGTTTTGCCTAAATTTTCAAACATAAAAAGTCCAATTTCTTCTGGTTTTGCTTTATTGGTTTCTTTCATTTCTTCTGCTATTTTTAGAACTTCTTCGTCTGAAAGAAGTTGTTTTCTTCCCTTTTCCGAAATTTTTCCATTTTAGTCTTTTTTTCGTATTTTTTAAATTTTGGAATTTACACCTGATTCCTTAAAAGTCCCGAAAAAATACTCAAGTGCCCCTCTGATTGATTTTTTAGTTCCTTTAAACTCATTAATTGGTACATTAGAAAGATCGTTTAATGAAAACCGCACTTGCTTTCTAAAAGTGGGAAAAGATTCTTTTTTTATTTTTATCTCAAGGTCTTGAAAAGCTTTGAAAATAATAGGGCAATTAATTGGGTATTGTTCAGCCCTTTGACTAACAGGAATTTTCGGACCAATCATTTTTCAAACTTTCATGTTTTTTGGAACCTTTTTATATTCTTTCTTTGATTGAGGGAGCTTGGAAGAAGGTTAACATTGTTTAAAAAGGTTTATAAAAGAGTTTATTAAATAGGCTATTGATGTTGTTTTTATATTATTGTCAAATTTTATAGATTAATTATTATTTTTATTTCTAAATTTAACAAGAGTTTTTTTAATCTAAAAATTTTATAGTGACTTTGTTTTGTTGCGATAAAAGACTTTTTTATTTTTATTGTTAGTAAAGTTAAAGAATTGTTTTTATAATTTACTTGTATATTATCAAATGAAAAATAACTTCGTTATTAATTGTTAAATTTGTTGTTTATTAATATATTTTTAATCAATTTAAATAAATGATGTTGCGATAAATAAATTTAGATTTATAAATTATTATATTTTAAAACTATTAATTATTATAATTTAACCATTTATGTAACTAAAATCGTATTTTTGAAAAACTGGTTAAAAAATAGTTTATTTACTATTATAAAATAGTTAAAAACGATGACTTATATTTTTCTTATTGTCAACTTAAATTGCATGACACCCATATAATGATCATGAATTGATTCATTTGACACGAAGTATCGAAGCTGTGGTTATCGTTGTGTATTTTTTTGAACTTTCAAGTGTTGAGTAGTTTTCATTACTTTTCAGACCCACCATTTGATTCATTTTTTGTAACAAATTATAGTATAAATTATAATAAATTTATTAATGATATCAGTTATTTTATTCTTCTTTATAAAAGTGTGTGCTGAAATCCCCAAATGTTACATATATTTACTGTAATAAAAAGAACAATATAGTCCATCAAATAGTAAGAAAGTTGTTGATTATCATTTTTTTTGTAATTAGTGGATGAAGGTATAAAAACACATTTAAGATAAACAACACATCAACTTTCACTTTGGCACCATGTCTTCTTAATAACGTATTGAGCTGATAACAGTCATTGTCTCCATGATGTTTTCAACAATTTTTATTGAAATTCACTTTTGGGCAAGCATTTTGGCTAACGGGAAAAACCGCTTCACAACCATTTACTTGTTTTATTGTATATAAAAATAACGTTTTTTGGCATTTTGCCGAGTTTTAAAATAAAAAATAATACGGTGGCGAAAAACCGCTTTAGATCTTTTTTGTCTTTTCGTAACCAAATTTTTATTGTTTTATTATAAAAACTTATCCAATAACCAAATATTGCCTTTTTAAATTGTGAAAAAATAGTGTTTTTTTTCGGCATACAAATATTTTTAACCAAATGTATTGAATAACATACAAATACACATAATAAACTTGAATTTATTCACCATACAGAAATGATTGCCGCACTTTCGGATCGTCCACAGTATCCTCCCAGTCTTTTTTAACATTTCTCTGCACGGCGGGAAAAACCGCTATACTACCATTTCCTGATAAAATTACACATAATTATAACCAAAGTTTCAATTTGCCTCAAATAATTGAGGTTTTGGTGAAAAAAACTAAATAACACGAGAAATTATAACGGACATGTGCAGCGCCCTTTTACCGCTTCTGATAATTTACATAAAATTATCCGTCTTACATTGTTTTTATTGACCAATATTAATAAAGTGCTTCGTTTATTTTATAAAAAGTTTCAAAAAAGCAAGTACAACGAAATAACGAGTCATTTATCGCTTTCTCGACAGGCACTTGAAAAACCGCTGGGAATGGATGCACTCACCTTCGGTTGGTGAGTAAGTCCAAAGTGCGTTTTTTCAGTTTGGATTTGAAATGCATTTATGAGCGAATGAGGAATCCAACAAGAGGGGGTGTGAAATAAAGGTGCAGTCTGTCTTTGCTGAGAGACATTGAAAAGTGGTGTATTAAAAACATGTGCTGGCCCGTGTATTAACTATGTTGCTCGATATATAATAGATTTGACTGTTG